TTTGGACGTCAGCGGCGTGGGGAATGAATGCTGCTGCTGCTGCTGCTGCCAATCTCATCCTGCTCCTCGTATTGCTGCTACTCCTCTTACTACTCCTCTTGCTCCTACTACTTACTACCACGGCTCCTGCTCTTGTGCCGCTGCCACCACTGCGACGGTAATACCACTGGTTCTTACAACCACCGGAAAACTGACAGGATTTTGAATGCTCGCTTGGCACGATTCGACTGAGTCATGCAGCTTCTGCATCTAAACCTAAGATGAGCGGACTTATCGCGAGCTGCCACATGATAACAAATCAAAATGACACCTATGCGCCTATGCGCTTCACCTCATGGCATCACGCTGCACATGCAAACTGGCACTGCATTGCACATTTGGCCAAATTCAAGATCTCTCGATACACGGCGATGGGCTGTGGCCTTTGATCGGTAGGCCCATCGACTTGCTGCAATGCGAATTTAACACGCAGCTCTTGCCCCTACCCCTTCGTGCATCCTTGACCTGCACGGTCTTCACCACCCGACTACGTCTCTGCGATCTTCGCACAAGCAACTGCAGTGGAATGACGAAGATCTTGAAGCCGGAGCGTTGGCAGAGAAACTGATAAACACCGGTTCCATTGCAGCCCGAAGGAGGGGGTTGAGCAAAGGCAGTCAGCCGGACACAGCCACGAAGGCTGGATGGCCGTAGAAAGTCCCTGGCACCTTGTGGCAATCAGTGTGTCACATTGGCCTTCCAGTCACTTCGCCAAGCACAAGGCCTGGGCAGCCGGGAATGGATAGCCAGCCTGCGGCTGAGGCGGAACACGTCACCGAAGCTGTTCTCGTGGTGTCCAGAGAGGTTTTGAAGCTCGGAATGCAACTTCTCTGCAACGGTGAGCTGCGTGGGCTGCGCACTCTGTAACCCTGCCCCGCAAGTGATCCCATAAGCGCTGCAGCAAAGCGGCGTTCAAGGGTGCCGAGGACGTTGCGTGGCTCCGCAGGTTCACGCCTGAATTCTCGGACAAATTTCACATCCTTTACCGAACAAACAGCAACAGAGAAGGCTGAACCATGCAAAACCTAACATGCGGTGATCCTAAAATGACGCTTGTGTATGCGAACACGTTCGCCAAGATTGCCGCCATGAGCTCTCTCCTTGCAACAACCGATAGTGTCATGTTGTGATCATCACAACTGTCACACTTGCATGGAGTGGTTCCCCACCAGCTGGTCGTGGGAGAGGAAAAAGGAGCCATGCAGCGCATGAGACCTGAAATCGAAATCGATGATGCTTTGCAGCTGTCATTTGCCATGCCTGATTTCAATGTTGACAGTGCTTCCAAAGGCCAGCATGTACAATCGTCTGCTGAAAATAGTTAACTAGTCAAGTGGAAGCAAGATGTTCTTCCCAGATTGGCCACACCGGAATGGAAATCTGATCTGGCCTCTGCAGCTGCGAGAGTGACTGCCTGAGTCCATGCTAGAGTCCGTACGGCCGTCCGTCTTCAGAAGCAAGGCAGCAGCTCACACGTCGAGGGTGCTGCGTCTGCGCTGTGGGCTGCGTCTGCATCAGATGGAGAGCCTTGCACCATGTAGGGCCAAGTTACCGAGCGCTTCTGCTCTCGGAAGAGCCTCCATGTGTTGGGGTTTCGACTCAGACACCTTACGGAATCAGCCAGAGCACCAAGATGCACCAGTAGCCCTTCGATAATTTGAGATCAGCACGCTCGTCTGGCTGTAGAAGGAGCTGCCCAACAGGAAGCTGCCGCCGTCGGGTGCTGAAGCGATGCCGGAGGGAGCAGCAACACTTGGAAGTCAGGCATTCTTCACCCCTGCATGCGCCTCGAACAAGCACCCCTGCATACGGATTGCCAGAGCTTGGCATGTGCCTGCTCACAAGAAGCGAGCCCAACGTGCAGGCTGTTACAAGTTCTTTTCTCGAGGAGTCTAGGGCACACGCACTGTCTGGCTTCTGACGCCCAGAGGCACTCGGGGCATGACCTGAAGTTGGACTTGTTCAATGTAGTTTGCTCGAACTGACTTCCTCAGCCGCATGCTTCATGCTGGTTGAAAGATGCACCCGATGGTCCGCCACAGTTCATGGATCGCGCCTGTGTCTAAGCTTTCTGCGAACTCCTGAAGCTCATGAACAATCTGGCTGCTTGTAACACATAACTACGGAATGTCCAAGCCGTTCCGGGACAAACATGTCAGATGCACCAACGCATTGTCCGCGGCCCGCAGCAGGTAGCTGCGATCAAGGCCAGATTGGGTCAACATCTCCAACACTCTCGATTGCTGAACAGGAGGGCATGCATGTGATCGCACCTCTGCAGGGCTTCGGCACGATCTGCATCGTTGCTGCTGTTCGTTGCGTACACATAGGCCTTCCAAGCCACCCAAGTTCAAGCAAGTCTCCCACACACTGCCGGTGCTCTCACAGACCGGAGGCTGCGAGCCGCGTGCCTCACCGCCTCTCAAGGCGATACTTACCCGGCAGCCATCAACCTGGCACCAACAGCTTCTGCGCAACCTGCATCATCCTTGCGTTTCTTCTCTTGGTTTTACTATAGTTGCCTTAGTCCTTTGGTTCGTCGTCCAATCATATCACTGCCTTAATCCTATGGTTCGTTGGTTCGTGCTCTTACTTTCATGGCGGGTACCATCAAGATCATCATATCCTTCTTCTTCTGAATCACGCCTGTTCGACTGATGAATATACTTTTCCTTATCACAATTTCTGCTCTGATTTGTCGTAATACCTCTACTATGCGGACTAGTGCTGTCAGGATGTCTGACAGCAATGTCGCGTGCTGCTGGTGCTGATGGTAGAGTAGAGCAGCAGCAGCAAGCAGTAGCGATAGCAGAAGCAGAAGCGGTAGCAGTAGCAGTAGCAGTAGCCGTACCAGTAGCAGCAGCAGTAGGACGAGGCGGCGGAGGAGGAGGTAGGTCGTTTTGGTGGTATTCGTAGCAGTAGTAGCAGTAGTAGCAGTAGTAGTAGTCGTCGTCGTCGTCGTCGTCGTCGTAGTGGTAGTGGTAGCGGTAGCGGTAGCGGTAGCGGTAGCGGTAGCGGTAGCGGTAGCGGTAGCGGTGGTGGTGGTGGTGGTGGTGGTGGTAGTAGTAGTAGTAGTAGTAGTAGTAGTAGTGGTGTTGGCAGTAGTAGTGGTAGTGGTAGTGGAGTGGTAGTGGTAGTGGTAGTGGTAGTGGTAGTGGTAGTGGTAGTATGTGAGTGGCAGTGGCAGTGGCTGTGGTTGTGGCAGCGGTACTGGTAGGCTCGTCGTCTTCGTAGTCGTCATCGTTTTCTGGAGATGATCAAAGTGGTCTTAGTCATGATGCTCAGCATGATGGAGATTTCGGTGAGGATGATGACGGTGGTGGCTATTCTGACGGTGATGATCATGATTGTGGTGGCGATGATGGTCAAGTCGTTTTTGTTTTCGTTACGCCAAGCTTTGAGTCCCTGTGGCTCTTTCAGGTAAGAAGTTGAGGCACACAAGCCATGTTGGCGATGCTGATGTTGCTGTCTATACTTAAAAGTCCGTGTTCCGCGGCCATGTGAAAGAGATGGACGGATGATGTACAGCGGTTGGCGCCAACAGAGTATACGCGCCCAAGCCGAAGTTGAGGTATTGCGGTGTACATGACTGCGACCTAAGGACGAACTGGATGAAGTTGGCTTCCGGTTCTACCACGAAGCCTGGACCAAGATGATAGCAATGCAAAGTTTAACGTTACAGGAGTGTCAAGTCCTTCATCACCATAACTATCCACTACCACATCACAGTAGCCTAAATGTGCTTTCTGTCTGATATCCATTTCGGGCGTCCTGCCAAGGCAAGTGTCCCGATCCAATGATCCAAAAACAGCTTCCAAAAGCCAGAAGTCGTGTTGCTGCACCACAGCCTGTGAGAGCAACATCGGGGTTAGCTTTACTAGTGTCATCATCAGTCTCTGTTTCTGTGACGAAAGATCTGGTTTCTTCTATCATCCTTAAGCTTATAGTGTAGCTAGTAGCAGTGTTTTGCTAAAGCTCGTCGTATTGATTTTCTTGCTAACAAATGACAACAGCTCTTGTTGTTAGTATGCTTTCCTCTGCATGAGAACTGCGATTCTTTGAACCTATTTCCACCATCCCTAAACCCTAAACCCTAAACCCTAAACGCTAAACCCTAAACAGAATCTTTGGTGAAGCCTTGGGAGAGAAATGCCCTAACCCCCAAACCCTACACCGCAAACCGTGCAGGTTCTCAGGAATGCGACAACAGCATCCAACACATAAGCCCCAACCCAAACCAACGATGAAAAGCCCCAGCTCCTCCACCACTCTAAACCCTAAACTCTGTACCCTAAACCCTAAACTCACGAAGTCTAAAGACACCCCGCCACGCACTCAACGACTCCAAGCCCTAGGAAGGCTTGTGGAAATACGAGCAACGGAGGTTGGGCTTCTTTTCAGAAGGGGGCTTGTTTCGGACCCGAAGCCCCCGAGAACCCTACGCCCCTCAGGATCTGAATTGTAAGCCCGAAACCCGTGCCCTAAGCCCATCACAACCACAAAAGGGTCTAAAGGCCCAAAGACCCTGAAACCTAACGCAAGTCCTGGAAGTTGGTGTTTGGAGCATAGCCTGCTCCGGTTTGCGGTTATGGCTTCCATCATAAGAGGCAACTTAACATCAGCACGCTCCGCAAAGTGCGGCAAACGTGATAACGGCGTCTTCCTGGTGATACGATACCTCGCTGTTGCAGGTGCAAAGCCCAAAAGCCGCAAACCCTAAACCCCCAAAAGCCCTGAACCCTAACCCCCCAAAAAGCCCTAAACTCTAAATCCCAAAAAGCCTTAAACCCTAAACCCCCAAAAACCCCTAAACCCAACACCCAAAACTTGCGGGCGCCAGATCCCCAAAGCCTCAACCCCATCACAACCAGAAGCAAAGAAACAAAAGCCCAGCGGCCCAAAAGCCAAAGAGCCCTAAACCCTAAACCCTGAATCAAAACCTTGAACCTTTCATAACGATACTATCGCCGCAGAGCCCTTGTCCTAATTAATTATTAAGGCCCCTGCGTTGTTAGAGTGCTTTGTTCAAAGCCTTCAGTTCCTAGCGCCCCTGTCAAAAGCCTTAAACCTCTTGTTTTAAAGCCTGAAGCCCCTTTTGCAAACCCTTAGCCCTAAGCCCTAAACTTCCCTAAACCTTGAACCCTAAACCCAAAGCCCTAAACCCTGAACTTCCCTACACCTTAAGCCCTACCCTACACCTTAAACCCTAAACCCTAAGCCCTAAACTCAAAGCTCAAGCCGAGGCTCGGCTGCAAGAACAGTGCAGCCTGGCTCTGGGGTTTAGGGTTTAGGGGTTAGGGTTTAGGGTTTAGGGTTTTTTGGGAAGGGTGGGGGGCGAGTTTAGGGGAAGCGTGGGTTTAGGGTTTCGGGTATAAGGTTTCGGGTTTGGGGTTTAGGGCTTGGGTTTTAGGGTTTAGGTTCTAGGGTAGCGCAAGAGGAGGAATAGGAAGACATGCGCCCGTCTAGGAGCAACCCTAAAGCCTCAGCCCTCCGTAAGGGAGTGGGAGTTACAAGTAGAGCAGACGTACAAGTTCCCGTTCAACTGTGGGCTGTTCAAGTTGGTCCTTACGAGTCGACATACCTCAAGGCACTGCTCTGAATCAGAAACGCCTTTCTCAGAATTTCGGGAGGAGCCAGAAAGTAGAACCCCTAGGTTGGGCACCTATTGCTGCTGCAGGGTCCTTTTGCAGGAAAGCGCTTGCGGGATCTAATCGAAGGGACGGAAGACTTAGAAGCATCTTAAACTCTAAACCCTAAACCCTAAACCCTAAACCCCTAAACCCCTAAACCCTAAACCCTAAACCCTAAACCCTAAACCCCTAAACCATAAGCTTCATTCGGTGTACTCTACCCCAAATCAAACCCCCTTCGAGCTCTCAAGGCCCATCCATTACCTTCTAGATGCCACCCAGAGGTCCCTAAACCCCTAAGCTCTAAACCCCTGAATCCTAAACCCCTAAACCCCAAAACCCTAAAACACTAAAGCCCTAAACCCCTCAACCCTCAAAGCCTAAAGCCCCAGACCCTCAAACTCAGTCTGAAGCTCCGCAAGCAAGTGAATTCTGAGCTCAGGCTCTCAACCCGTCAACTCTCTAGAATTAGGGTTTAGCGTTTAGGAATTACGGTTTAGGTTTAAGGCCCGTTGAAATCCCTCAGGCCTCCTTGAACCCTACACTTACCTCAAACCCTGAACCCTCAACAACAAAAATCCTGTATCTCTTTGTACCCCAACTTGGCCTTAAACCCTAAACCCTCACCGCTCATACTTCCCTACATTTACCTTAAATCCTCAACCCTGAACCCTAAGCTTTAAAGCCCTTAGCTTTACACTCTGAAACCCTAAAGCCCCAAACCTCCAGGCTTTTCAGCTCCATGCCCTAAACCCCTAAACCCCTAACCCCTAAACCCTAAACCCTAGACCCTACACTCCTAAAAGCCCTAAGGGGAACTTGGCCTCGGCGTAGGCGAGGCCCTCCCTTTTTTCCCAGCAACTCCGATCTTCCGGTGGCTCTTAATTTAGGAAAAAACAGCTTAGATCATGTACCTTTAGGGGTTTAGGGTTTAGGGTTTAGGGTAAAAACACCTTAGATCATGTACCTTTAAGGGTTTCGGGTTTAGGGTGTAGGGTTTAGGGTAAAAACACCTTAGATGATGTACCTTCAAGGGTTTAGGGTTTAGGGTTCAGGGCAAAAACACCTTAGGTCCTGTACCTGAAATTCTAGTAGGATCCCTAATATGTCAGGGATCCTCCTGTAATTTGTGGAATTTGCGGAATAGCGGACATCTGTGGGTAAGTTAAGGCATCTTCCTTAATTTGACGGGTATACCTTAATCTATCGTAGGATCCTGAATATGAGCTTGATCAATACAGGATTTTGGAAATCCAAAACCCTAAGGGTTTAGGGTTTAGTGTTTAGGGTTTAGGGTTTAGGGTTTAGGGTTCCTAAACTTAAACCCTAAATCCTAAACCCATCAACCCAGGCATGCTTTTCGAGGGAGCTTCTAGCGCTGCACGGCGAGAGCCGGAGGCAAGGATTCGGTGTTCGAGGTCTACGGCCGTAGGTATTTCGGGTTTTTGGTTTCCGGGTTTCGGGTTGAGTATTTCGGGTTTAGCGTTTCAGGGTTTAGGGTTGAGTATTTCGGGTTTAGAGTTTCAGGGTTTAGGGTTGAGTATTCCGGGTTTTAGGGTTTCAGGATTTAGGGTTGAGTATTTCGGGTTTAGGGTTTCAGGGTTTAGGGTTTAGGGTTTCAGCAAGATTTATAGCCAAAATTTAGGGAGTTAGAGAAGATGCTGACGTGTGCAGAGCATGAATTCTGCTAGTGACTGCTATTGTTCTTAGAGGGGACCCGGTCGTTCCCGGGAGATGGGTTCCGAAGGATGTTTCGGACAGCAACCAACCGCGCCTCGAAAAGTGTCAAGCTTTGACAGGGTAACTACATATGTCATGTGCTT